TTTGATTAACTATGTTTCATCATAGTCAATTAATAAACCTGATATAAAAAAAATTAAAGAACAAAAAAATAATTTTAAAAATAAAGAATTTCCTTAATCGACTATGAAGCATAGTCGATTTAAGACTAATCGACTATGCTTCATAGTCGATTAAAAAATCGGAAAAAAAAAAAAAAAAGAAAAAGCCGTGGAGCGCGTGGCCCAGTGATGAGGTGGCGGGCGGGGGTAAAGCTGAAAAATATAATGGCTGAAAATGGGTGTTGACTTTTTCTCAAATGGACTAAAATATTTTTGACCTCCCTCTAATAAAAAAAGTTGTGAGGGGATTTCTCAAATAGCCCAATATATTAAATTGTAGAGTAAATAGGTAATCCAATAATTAGTTGCAGTAAAAAAAACTATTTTATTACATTGGAATACAAACTCCGTATTGCACAAGAACTCTCTCCATGCTTAAGAATTGATAGACATCAACCGAAACAAATATATTAGCACACCAAACTATATTATTTTTCTTTTTAGAGAGAGAGAGAGAGAGAGAGAGAGAGAGAGAGAGAGAGAGAGAGAGAGAGAGAGTCTGAATTTATTTGATTGTATTAGTTCTCGTGGCAGAATTGACGACCATGGAAACAAGAGAAGCAGCACCTTCGAATTTCCAAATCAAGATTGAATCCTTCTCCTTGGGTTTTTTATTATTTTATTATTTTTTATCGAATTTGCTAAAACAACTCTTGTGTTATTAATATTAGCATTCAACACCCCAATAATTCAATTTTGTCAGCAATATAATAAACTCGCGCATGTATTCTCCGTTAAAATAAGTGGCGGAACGTTAACAGGGGCAGCGCGGCTGCGGACCCCCAAGATTTAATTTTTCTTTTTTCTTTTTAGTAATTTTGAGTAATATGTTTAATATTTAGGTTTTTGCTTCTCAATCTTGTGTAAATATCAGTTTTGACCCCTCATTTTTTTAATTTCTCTCTATTATTTCATATAAATTTATATACTTTTTCATATTTATTATTACAATATTATTGTCAAAATCATACAATTTTACAAAAATTAAATAAAATATTACTTATTTTTGCTTCAATATTCAAAGAATTGCATGATAAGAATAATATTTGAACTTGTGCTGGAGACTAATAATCTATCCTAGCGGCGACAACATTATCGGTAAAGACCGCGACTATTGTTGGGGCTAAATACCTAACACGCAAGTGCACGTATCGCAAACAAGTAGTAAAGGTGGACTCGTGAGAGTCGGATGTCGATCCCACAGGGAATACTCAAATTATCTAATCCTAAGTACCAAATTCTAACAATTATGATTTTTATCCAGCCTACGCAAAGTTGTCAAATTTAATCAATTAAACAATTAAACTAATTAAGAAAACGAATAATCACGAGAAAAATATCAATATAAAAACGGATCTAGGATTTTATCTTCCCCCTATGCAAGAATTGCTCACCCAAAACCCCTCAATTATGAAATATATGATTCATGATTATTAACCCGAGACATTAATTTACTCACAACCCCCTGTCATTATCTTACTTTTCTAGAGGAGATGATAATAATAATAATAATAATAATAATAATAATAATAATAATAATAATAATAATAATAATAATAATAATAATAATAATAATAATAATACTAATAATAATAATAATAATAATAATAATAATAATAAGAATAATAATAATAATAATAATAATAATAATAATAATAATAACAACAATTCTTTCAATAATTAATTTTCACCTATTAATTCTTAATGACTCAGTACATGAATCTCTCTTGTTTTGAATCGAAATAGCGATCACAAATTAAATGAACACATTAATTATCTAGGACTTAAGATATTAAATAATTGGGGGTTTAAGATATAGGTCCCTGATGACAAAACTTATTAGAACTAAATGACAAGTCTAACTAAACATTTGCTTCACATCCTTTATAAATTTTATTCCGAAAATGCCCTCCACACACAAAAAATGAAATATGCACCAAGTGATAGTTAAACTGTATTTATCATTTTTTTCGTTCTACATTTAACATTTTTCATTTTTTTATCTAGAATTTTGTTATTATTTTTATTAGAACACGTTGATTTTTTTTTTTTGCATTTTCTTATTTTTTTTCTTATTTTTTTCGACAAAATCTTGAAAATTATGATTTTTTAAATTTTTTCGACCGTAGTCTTCTATAGAAATCCGTAGGAAATCGTAGTAGTCCGTTAGTCACGTATAGAAACTCGTAGGTAAGTGTAGTAATCCGTAGTCACGTATAGAAACTCGTAGGTAAGTGTAGTAATCCGTAGTCACATATTCTTAAAACCCTAATTCATCTTTTCAACCCTAGCCGTCAGACACCATAGACACCCATAGACACTCACAGACATCTATAGACATGAAATCGGAAAATTTTAGATCCACCCCACCAAACCGTAGATCTCCTCCACCAAACCATAGATCTACGACGCCAACATCACCCACGCCGCTAAACATGCCACAAACCCCACCCACGCTGTTGTTGGCATCCACATCCCACCCCCAACATCGATCGCCACCGGCACCATCCCTCAACCCCCGAGTGCCGCCGCCCAACGAGCGCCGCGCCTCCTCCGAAGCCGCCGCTGCCCAACGAGCGTCGCGCCTCCTCCGAAGCCGCCGCTGCCCAACGAGCGCCGCGCCTCCGCTGCCCAACGAGCGTTGCGCTTCCTCCAGCACCGCTGTCATAGTTGTCGCTAGATCCACCACCAACCATAACCGTTTCCACAACCAAGCCCCTCGCCCAGAGTTTCCACCATACACAGTGTTTCCCTGCTTATGTAACCAATCCACTTCTTCACCGTCGACTAATTAATAGATCTATCAAAAATAAGAAAAAAAAAATAGAGAAAAGAGGAGATGTTGGGTTGGCGGAGGAGATAAATGTATAAGAGAGAGAGATAGAGGGGGGAGTGGTGCTCTGGAACGATGGAGAGAGAATGGGTGGGTGGGGCCGCTGAAAGAAAAAAAAGTAGAGAAGAAATTAGAAGAAAATGAAACCTAATATTATATTGGTATATTGAAGGGTATTTTTGGGTTAAATAAAAATTAAAGGATGTAGATCAAATTTTATTTGGAATTATGGATTTAGTTAAAATATTTTAATTGAGGCTGTCCCCCATATCTAATTAGGTTTGATTTTAGGGGTGTCAAGCATATTACCCCTAAATAATTTGCTATAAATTAGAAATAATATAGTTTCATATTTAATCAGTGACGAAACCATTTATTTCACTTTGTCATGTTCAACACATGCCGGATGTGCTAGCGCAATAAGTTAAAACAATAACTACAAAAGTTATTCTCCGTTTACTGCGATCAAGATCATTCACTTAAATATTGTTATACAATCTTTGCCAATGAGTAGTCCAATTCCCTCTAGACTGTGAACGTTTGTTTTTATATGTTTTTATATTCTAAACGAAATTTCGAAATGATCTTTATGTGTACCGTAGCACACCAGTGTGCAAACCATTAAGAATAATAAACTTACACATTTAATTAATTGACAATAACCACCATCTAACTAAAATCATTTGAAATTCATATATGCAGATTTTCATAAATGATTAAATAAATAAACTTTATTAATACTTAAATCGTTCACATAGATGAAAGCGAGACTTTATAGTCTACTAACCTAACAAGTGGGTGATGGTTGTGGTGGCAAGCAATGGTGGTTGTGGCTGCGGTGGTTGTTTTTGGTCGTGGTGGTAGGGGTGGTTTGGTGGCGGCAGTGGGTATTTGGTTGATTTGGTCTTTCAAAATTTGAAGACCTTTAAAATTTATTTGTATTCATGTTTAGGTCTTTTTTTAATGTATTTGCCATTTGGAGTGTTTGGTCAAACGTCAAATAAGATCAACACGTGTTTTTTTTTATAGTTTCCACCCTCCCTATAATATATTAACTAGTCTTTTCACTTACTTTGAATTTATTAACTAACTGACGAATTATAGCATTATATTTATTAAGATTGCAATTCAATTTGACAATTTGATGGCTCCATTTTAAAGAACCAGTCAACATGAGCTTGTACAAAATGGATTTAATTTAAATGTAACTTAAAAGTATTGGTCCAAATGAGAGCTATAATTTTCGAATTCCTTATATATAATATTTATATTTATTGAAATAACTTCAATGGAATAACCAATATATATTTATCATGTTTTAGATTAGTCGGACTTATATTTATATATTTTTACTCCTTAATACCTAATACGTACCTTATAAATTACAAGAATGGTACCTGGTAGAGATTTAATCTTCTATCGATATGTTTTACCGACTCTAATCATCAACTTGTAACTTGTCATTTTGATGTTTATGACATATTATTTATTCACTGTTTTTTATGATACTAGAGTTAGATCACCTTAGAGAGTCGAAGTAGGATGGGATGGAAGAGCATAGTGGATCACTGACTCACGAACTTGATGACTTTGAGATACCAGCGATCATAGAACACGTAAACTAAGCCGAGGATGATCCGCCGGAAACCCCTCCAAGCTTAAGTCAGATGTTTTTAAAAATAGTCCAGAGAATACATGTTGTGATACTGCTCAGATAATAGGACGTACCTTCAGGATTGAGTTAAAACATTTATTTATACCTCATTGATTGAGCTGAAGTTTAATTAGTTGAGATTGTCGGGCTCAAACCTTATTTGAAGGTGATTGGATCTCGGTGATAGTGGTCTTTAATATTGAGCTCGTGGCCCAATAAGTAAAAAAATTGTAGGCCCGTTAGTTTAGCAGACATATCAAATTGGTTGTTAGAAACGAATATGGCTAATATGGCTCTTGGCAAGCTAAGTTACCAAATTGGTTGTTTCTATATATATCTATTATCAAAGACAAGTCAAGCCACACGGCTACACCAAAGGTTAATTGTAACTTGTAAGAGAACTTCTCCAAAGTAGAACGTAAGTAAGGAATCGAGATGGTTCTGATAACAGCGGCCTCAGCAGCAGCAGCACGAGCAGTAGCAGCAGGACGACCAGCAGATGGTACGATAAATTCACAAATTCAAATATACATATATGTGTGTGTGTGTGTGTGTGTGTGTGTGAGGGGAGCAATTTTACTAAAGCTATTATTGCGGTCAGATTACATCGCACTAGAAACAAGAGATGCATCACCAGCACACTTTTTGTTCAAGATTGAGTCGTGCTCGTTGCTTCAAAACTGTGGGATTGATAAATACGAAACAAATGATTTTGTGGCTGGAGAACACAAGTGGTACATACATTCTTCCAGCTATTAAAGTTTTAAGGTGTCATTTTTCTGCATTAAGTCAACTGAAGCCTTGTTGAAAGAATTGCATATTCTTTACTTATACTTGATATATATATATATATATATATATATATATATATATATATATATATATATATATATATAGATAGATAT